AAGAGACACCACACAGAAATCTGGGTTTGCTGTGTCAACTGTGAAAGCCATTCCCCGCGGCAGCCCCGTAGCTGGAGGCCCCTTCACACAGACCACAGTCACCGTGATCCGACTGACCTCAGAGGCACCGAGGCTCACGTTGCCTGGGTTACAGGAAATTGGCTTTAAGCCTTTTTCACATAAACTGTGTGTACGGCGGCTCACTTTCTATCCCTCACTGCCCCCAGGGTTGTAAATGCTCTGAGACCAGCGTGCTGGGTCTCCCCAGTGTCGCCCGTCAGCCCAGGTCCTGGTCTCTACCTAACTGCCCCCATGAGCAGCTGGCAGATTTGAAGTTAGATGGATCCAGGCCACTTTGGTTTGGGAAGTTTCAGTTCTCTGGGATGGCTGTTTCCATGTACCCAAAGCCCCAGACTTTTACTCATGTAAGAGACAAGAAAGCCTGGCTCACGTTCTCCATGCCAGCATCTAGCACCGACTCTGATGCTCGCTGGTACAGGAGTGAGATTCTTTCCATTTCCTCTTGCCACTCAAAGGCTGGACCAGCTTCCCGGGCATCACCTGGGGTCTGGTGAGAAATGCAGAGTCTGGGGTGTCCAGCAGATCCCCGGATGCACAGGCACATTCAAGCTTGAGAGGCATCCCTAGAGCCAGCAGGAGTCACCGTGTCTTTGCCCCTGTGTCCTCTGCCCCTGGCTGGCTCTGTGCCCCATCAGCCCTCCCCATGCAGATAACATGACCCCTCTGGCCCTGGTCCTCCGTCGGGAAGGAGCTGCTGGGGGAGCTCTGCCCACGATGACCCCCCGGGCTGCTGTTGAGTTCATGTTGCCCTGACTCAGAGGGCCGCTCTGTCGGTCCTGCCACATTTTTTTCTCCAATCCATTTTATGCTTTCATGAAGTTTTTAAATGGATATTCAGTAGGGTAGAATGTAGGCAAAATGGTTTGTGAATGGAATCTTCCCTCAGGCTTGTGTTCTCTCTCCTTAGCCCTCCATCAGGGATCAAGCAGGACCGGATAATTACTTCTGTTGATGAAACCTCCTGTGGCTGAGGTCGAATTTTTCTGAAACAAGATGAAGAGGCATAGAGGCCCCTTCAGGCCTGCTCCCACCAATGCCCGGGCCTGTCCTGATGTCAGGGGCCTGGGCAAGGCTGCCATCAGCAGAGGACCATGTGCCTGGTGCTCCCTGAACACAGGCCATGGTTATCACATTTGTGACATCACAATGTAGCTCCAGGTTTCCAGGTGTCTTGAATGTACCTGGTCTGCGTCGCACCAAAGTCTACACTCCAAAACTCTGGGTGGGTCTGTACAGCTCCGTCGCAGCCAACACTGTTTAAACGTCAAAAAGCCAAAGAGCAGGGCTTCCCTGCTGGCGCAGTGGTTGGGAGTCCGCCTGCCGATGCAGGGGACGCGGGTTCGTGCCCCGGTCCGGGAAGATCCCACATGCCGCGGAGCGGCTGGGCCCGTGAGCCGTGGCCGCTGAGCCTGCACGTCCGGAGCCTGTGCTCCGCAACGAGAGAGGCCACAACAGTGTGAGGCCCGCGTACCGCAAAAAAAAAAAAAAAAAAAAAACTCAAGTAAAAGAGCAGAAGTTAAGGATTATGTCACAATTAAGAGAAGGAGCATCCTTTGCCACCTTCATTATTTTTGGAGCAGTGCGTTGGCTAAAACAGGTAGAAAACATCAACTGTACCGTATTATTGTCCTGTAGCACCCAACCAGTTCCTACAGCTTTTTCCGTGGCTTTCAAGCCTTCTAATAAGACGCTTTCCTCCCCACCTCCGGGAGTTTAAATTAGAACGTTTCAGCTGTGACCACGGGCATTTCTAAACATCATCAGTGTGTTGACAGTTATTAGGGAAATTGGGAATGACAAAGGAAAGACAGACGGAAGAGGGGTAGAATCAGAAAGGAAACGGAGTGTAAATTAGTTACAAATGATTACTGTTTTTCTGGGCTTCCCTGGTGGCGCAGTGGTTGAGAGTCCGCCTGCCGATGCAGGGCAGACAGGTTCGTGCCCCGGTCCGGGAAGATCCCGCATGCCGTGGAGCAGCTGGGCCCGTGAGCCATGGCCGCTGAGCCTGCGCATCCGGAGCCTGTTTCTAAACATCATCAGTGTGTTGACAGTTATTAGGGAAATTGGGAATGACAAAGGAAAGACAGACGGAAGAGGGGTAGAATCAGAAAGGAAACGGAGTGTAAATTAGTTACAAATGATTACTGTTTTTCTGGGCTTCCCTGGTGGCGCAGTGGTTGAGAGTCCGCCTGCCGATGCCGGGGACGCGGGTTCGTGCCCCGGTCCGGGAGGATCCCACGTGTCGCGGAGCGGCCGGGCCCGTGAGCCGTGGCCGCTGAGCCTGCGCGTCCGGAGCCTGTGCTCCGCAACGGGAGAGGCCACAACAGTGAGAGGCCCGCGCACCGCAAAAAAAAAAAAAAAATTAGTTACAAGTGATTACTGTTTTTTTAACATAAACTCTCACGCTGGTTCTGTGTCTAGTAACTGCTTCCTCGGGTGAATGGCATGCACAGTGGGGGTGCTTGGAGGGGCCATCCTCTGGCTCTGGCCTCTGTTCACCCATTCTCAGGCCTTCTTTTCCATGAAGACAGAAAGCAGGGCGGAAGGAAGTCGAGCTTCCCGGGGAATGCTTCCTAGAAAGTAGCCTGGGAGTCCTCGGTCCTGAGAGTGCAGAGAGATGACTTTCATTTCGTTCTGAGCGGCACAGCCCCCCTGGACAGACAGCTCGGTACACTGGAAAGTCGGTCAGTAGCGGTGGCCGTTCGGGGCTTTCGGTCCGAATGTGATGGAATTCGAAAAGGACAGGGTCGCGCGGGCCAGCGTGAGCTTTACCGCCAGTGACCGTCACGTGATAACCACACCTCATCATGTGAAGAACTTTCTCCTAAGAACAGTGAATGTCGGAAGCACAGGAGAGTGCACAGGCCAGTATTCCCATGGGCCTTCTTTGAAACTGGAAATAACTCACTGGTCCTTAGCCCCTCAGGGCCACGTGCTTTTAGAGGGAGAAAGCTAGTGGGAATCTCGTCCAAGCACTCCTGTCACAGATGAGGACCGAAGGCCCCAGGGGAAGGGGCAGAGGCTCTACCTCCTGCCACCCGCTGGGCGATCTTCCCACTTGCTGGAGGTTTGCCCTGGTCCTTAGGCACAACGGTCACAGGCACAGATTTCCGTGGTGTCCTTCACTCTGCCCCTGAACCTTCTGGCACTGTCCCCTCCGTGGACACATTTTGGAAGCTGCAGAGGTAACCAGTGAAGACGTTATATGCGCTCGGGAGAAACAAGGCCTATCCTGGGGGCTCTCAGGTGCCCTGGGGGTGATCCAGTGGGGTTGCCTCAGGGCCCGGGCTCCAGCCCCCTCCTGGAGGACCAGGCTCGTCCTCCGGGTGAGATGTACCCAGGGTAGTGGATGAGCAGACCCGAGGATCTGCAGAGGAATCCTCACTCCTCCTCTGGTATTTCATTCAGAAAATGTTCAAAGAAACAATCTTACTTCATCTTCATGAGAGGAGGTGATTTTTTAAACTAAATGGAAATATCATTAATAGAACCGCACAATTAAAGGAAATCATTACGGAGGAATTGCCTTGGGGCTTCTTACATCTTGCATAGGAAAATATTTTTATTAGAACGAATCCTTTTTCAGATTACCAAAATGCTCTCTAACAAAACATGGCGATGGGTGTACTTAGAGATTAAGAGTTTTAAAAGATGTTAAGGACAAATATGAGCCCCCCCCGCCCCAAGCTTATTCTAAGACACTTCATTTTCTTCCCGTGAGAGCAGATCATTTTATAGTAATACCGCTTTATTTTGTAAATTAGTTATGTGACAAGTTAGTTGACTACATTATTCTCTTAACACTCCTAGTTACAACCAAAGATGCTGAAAAGGTCTTTCACCAGTGCTTTGGAAGGCTGATGCGTTCATCAGTGCTCTCTGCCAGCAGTGACAGGCAGAGAGGTGGCTGGACTTCAGAGGGCTGCAGAGAGAAACGTTTCACTGTGTTATGCTCTAAGTGGAAAGCCTCCCTCAAGATTTATTGGGAGTATTGATGAGTGTTTCCTTATAGTGGGCTTGGGTGGGGGGTGAGGGAGTCAAGTTCAGAAAGCCATAAAATAAGCCCCATGAATGCTTCCCTATTATACAAGTTTTCCATAAAGTAACATATTTAGGTATGACTGACACCTTAAGATTGTGTTCTTAGTTCTTTAGGGGATCTGGGGAAATACATACCACAAAGAAAATTGATTCTGCTCATTGTGTGAAAAATTTGTGGAGCATTTATAATCAGAGTATCTATTTATATGGTTGATCTAGAAGTATTTCTAGGCTTTTTGTTTGGTTTTTGTTTGTTTTAGTTAAAAAAGAAGCTTGTGTTTAATGGGTTGAACCTCGTACACATTCCATGCGCAGGAGAATGTGTTTTCAAATATATTGGTTGGCAAAAATAAGATAAACATGTTGACTTTTAAAAAATTATTTTCGTGTTTACTGCCGTTTCTTGCCCATCTTTTCAGTTTTTGAGGAGTTGGGTGCTTGTTGAAGTGTCAGGGGAGATTGAAAGAAGTCTGAAGGTTTGCTTCATTGCAAAAGAGGCGTATTAGACGTCACCGATGCTGTAGCCTAAAGCAGCAAAGGGATTCTCAGGAACCCACTGGCATTTCATGAACTGGGAACGACCCGCATTTCTGCACTCGTCTAGTGTTTCCGGGGTTTGGGTCTAAGTGTTGCCAGCCGGGCGTGATCGGGAGGCGGGTCTCCCCGCTGGGAAGGCGGCGGGAGGAGTTGGCGCGTGGGAACCCTCTGCCGCTCTTTCTACGAGCGCGGGGCGCGGGCCTCGTGCGGCCTCCGGGATCGCCTCCCTCCCGGGCGGGCGGCGGGGTGCCCTGGGGCGGGGGCGCGCGGCTCCGCCGTTGCTGCAGCCGTGATGTCACTCGCCCATCCTAACCCGCGGTTGGTTGTTGTGTGTTTCAGCTCTGCCTGCAGTCGAACACAAAGACCTGGAGGAGGCTCCCACATCCTTCGTGGGGGAGGAAGGAGGCGGCGAAGCAGCTGAAAGGAACTTGGGGCTTTGGGGGCCTTTCCGCACCGGGCGGCCGGCGAGGCGGCGAGGAAACTAAAGCCACGGGGCGGTGAACGAGCCGGGCGATGAGGCGCTGCCGCCGCTGCTGCCGCCGCCGCCGCCGCCGCTGACACTCGGTTCCGGATCCTCCGCTGCCCTTTGTGCCGCCCGCACATGTGTCTGCCCGGCGCATCCGGAGGCGCGCACACGAGCATCCACCACGGCCGCCGGGGAGAGAGCGCCCGCCATGCCCACGGAGAGCCTACAGACAGGTAGCATGGTGAAGCCGGTCAGCCCCGCCGGCACCTTCACGTCGGCCGTGCCCCTGCGCATCCTCAACAAGGGGCCCGACTACTTTCGCCGGCAGGCGGAGCCCAACCCCAAGCGACTCAGCGCCGTGGAGCGGCTGGAGGCCGACAAGGCCAAGTACGTCAAGAGCCAGGAGGTCATCAACGCCAAGCAGGAGCCCGTGAAGCCGGCCGTGCTGGCCAAGCCCCCCGTGTGCCCGGGCGCCAAGCGCGCGCTCGGCAGCCCCACGCTCAAGGGCTTCGGCGGCGGCGCCAAGAGCGAGGGCGGCGCGCCGCGCGAGACGCTGAAGCTCGAGATCCTCAAGAACATCCTCAACAGCTCGGAGGGCTCGAGCGCGGGCTCGGGCCACAAGCACGGCGCGCGGAACTGGCCGGCGCCGCGCGCCGACGCGGCCGAGCTGCACCGGCACTCGTTCGCCGAGTCGCTGCGCGTGCGCCCCACGCCCGGCCGCGGCAGCCCGCAGGAGGGCGGCTCGCACGTGGGCCGGCGGCCGCTCGAGCCCGCCCCCGACTCCTTCCTGCACGTGTCGCACAGCTCCTCGGACATCCGCAAGGTGACGGGCGCCAAGCCCCTGAAGGCCATCCCCTGCAGCAGCTCCGCCCCGCCGCTGCCCCCCAAGCCCAAGGTCGCCGCCCCGGCCGCGGTCAGGTCCCCCGAGGCCGAGGCGGCCGAGCCGGCCTGCGGCGTGGGCCGGAGACCCTCGCTCCAGCGGTCCAAGTCGGACCTGAGCGACAGGTACTTCCGGGTGGACGCCGACGTGGAGCGGTTCTTCAACTACTGCGGACTGGACCCCGAGGAGCTGGAGACCCTGGGCATGGAGAACTTCGCCCGCGCCAACTCCGACATCATCTCCCTCAACTTCCGCAGCGCCAGCATGATCAGCTCGGACTGTGAACAGTCTCAGGACAGTAACAGTGACCTTAGAAACGATGACAGTGCCAATGACCGGGTGCCCTATGGCATCTCCGCGATCGAGAGAAACGCTCGCATCATCAAGTGGTTGTATAGCATCAAACAAGCCAGAGAGTCGCAGAAGGTGTCCCACGTGTAAGAGGAAGCGCGCGCAGCGGAGGGAGGGGCGTCTCTGTCCGTGCCTCGGCAGCTATGGAGGCTGTGAGGTCTCCTTGCAGTGTTGTGAGCTTCTTCACTCTGTGTTGCTTGTTGTGCAAATGTCTTTCAAGTTGCATGCCCGCCAGCGTGGGGACTGACCTGGCGTCCTCGGCCACCGTCGCCGCAGAGCCTGGCCGATCGCTCGCCATCCGCCAAAAGTTCCAGGCCAGATTCACACTAGGGCTTCGATCTTCAGCAAAACTGTTTACAAGGAAAACGGTATACAACTTCAATATTTATGTGGTTCCTGTGTTTTTATATCCCGCGCTATGGTGTCTTAATTAAAAGTTTTATCCACTGGCTTTTAAGTTGGGAGTAGCATCTTTTTGAAATAAAAAAAAACCAAAAAAAAACAAAAAAGCCAATCTGCCTACACTGGAGACCGAAACAATGGGAAAATAAATGGGGTCTGCTTACCAAACAGATAGTGACTGACCCAAGAGAGAACCGGGCTGGGCTTTCTGAGGAAGAAAGTGGGGACCCCGGTGGTAATCATGTAGGTATTGACATCCGCTCGCCACGTACTCAAGTAAGGGTTGGGGCGACGGTGCTGCGTACGTTTTGTGTCCGATTCGGTGTGTAAACGTTGGTGGTTCTGTGTAATGCTGACCCCAAGGAAAGACAATCAGTGAAGGTGATTAAATCCGGAGGTTGGGTGTTGGCGGGGTTTGTTGATATTCTGATTTAGGTTGATTCAGAAATTTCCACTGTTAATCTTTTGACGGAATGGCCACCTAGAGCTGATATTGAATGTCTTTTTTTTTTTTTTTTAAGTTGGTTTTTCGGTCAAGAACATGCGGATTCTCTCCCCTCCCTTTGTTGTTGTTGTTGATAAAGGGAGAGGGGAGTGGGGCTTGGGCAGGTGAGGGCTGTCGGAAGACATGAACACAAACGGAAATACCAGCCATATCAGTATAGAGCCTCCCATTCACAAGTCAATACCTTTGGTCGCTGAACCAGATCTGAGCAGCATGACCGTGCCCTGCGCATATGTTAATCCGTCAGGCTGTGGACCTTTGTTATGTTCTGGGTAACCAGAAACACAACTCTAGGTAGCTTTAAGAGCCTGTGGTCCCTAGAGCTGCATATCAGCTTGTTCCTTTTCCCCCATAACCTGTCCTCCAGGTGGTCTAGTTAGGTGTCCATCAGCTGCTGTAGCAGAGGTCCACCTACAGTGCCCAGCTTCCTTGCTCTTGTAGACACGCTCTGGAGCTCCCAGCAGCACTGCCTTAGGCTTCATCAGCTAATAGGACACTTTCTATGGTGTAAATGCTGTAAGACTTTGTACATACTTCAATTGTTATGAAATCTTTAAGAAGAAAAAAAAGGAAAAGTTACTCTAATAAATAGCTCTGGTGCAGGCACTCATGGTGGTGGTTTCTTTGTCCCTTCCTTTGCTCCCTCCATGGAATTTTCACCTTGGACCGTGAGCCAGAAGCAGATTTTTGATGGTCTTGAAGGAGCAGCATTTCATTAAAGTTATTTTCGCCATGACACAATTATTCCGAACAGCCGTGTTCTTCATTGTAGTCAGAGCAGTGTGCGTTTTGCTAAAATAGTTTCATCGAGGTTCCTAAAATATGCTGCTGCTGCTGCTTTACTTAGTTCACACTTGCAGCATTTTCAACTTTTCTTAAATATCAGAATTTTTCACATCTTCCACCAAACTCTTCAGTTGAAATATTTGTGAGTTCTGACGGTAGAGACATACTTTTGAAATTTATAGGCTTGTTCTTATTTGTACAAGTCCAATGTCATTAACATTACATGTGTTCAGACACTGGTCCACTCATTCATTCATTCATCCATTCCTCTTTCAAAGGGGCGTTCGTTGAGTGATTCCCTTTTCAGGCCTCACCGTTGACCCGGGATTGCTGTGGTCAACCACACAGTGTTTGCCTCAAGGAACTTAGATTTTCACTTTTACTTTAAGAGAAGAATCATTCCTCTCAATCGACATGTCTTACCTCCTGTTATTAGGACATTGAGTATTCAACAGGTATTTAATGAATCAAGTTATCTGAAGATTAACATTTCTTTTAAAGTTCCGTATAACATGTAAAAGTAAAAGAAAGGATTATTTTTAAAGTTTCAGAAACAGAAACGATATGATTCCCAACTCTTACCGTTCACAAACGTTTTCCTTTGGAAAATCAAATTTGGTTCCTTGACTCTCCACTGGTTTTGAATTTTTCTGGTTCTCTGCTTAACTTCTAGTTCAACTAGAGCTCTACTTTCCATAAGAAAGACTTTGAAATACTGCTATGCGTGGTGATAGTACAATGCATTCAAGATAATAGGATGAAAGTTTTTTATTTTTATATACACACACGTTTTCTTCCCTCACCATTTGGATAGAAATGTGGCCATTTAAAATATTCATGGCTTAGCATTTATATATCCATCTCTTTCTGGGGCTATTGAAATACTAAAGATAGATGTTATTTTCCTAAGGTAACTGGTTTTGGGGCGAGATGAGTACTTGGCGAATTTAATATCCCTGCCTATGCTTATTTTGTTTGAATCTCCCAACACTTCAAAACCACCTTTAATCTGTGTTCCAACAGAGCTATAAATCACCGCACTATAGTTCAGTCTAATCTTCTGGGGCCTCTTTATACCATGGACAAATGTGAGGCTTTGGGTTCCTATGGAAGATGGGAGTTCATTATTTTCTTTTTGTTCTTGAAATTAGAGTTTCTATAAAGGACAATTTCAAATGCTTAATATTAAATCCTGAGAGTAAGACATTTCCTAATTGTGAAGTCCTCTTTGCAAAATGCTCACTTTTGTAGCTCATGGGATTAAGCATCTTGAGTGTATGTGTGTGTGATGATGATGATACTGTTGGTGTGAATATACGGCTGTAATATAGTTCAGCCCACTTTTATTACCCCACACAATACAGAGTGACACAGGATTGCACTAGATGGCTCTGGAGACTGGTCGTTTCTTTTTTCAAACCACCATGTCTTAAGGCAGTCCTCCCATATCCACTGCCTCTGCCATTGCCATAGTTCAGGCTCTCCTTCTTTTAACTGGACTGTTGTTCCTAGAACTCTCTAACTGGAATTCCCCCTCCCCACAACCAGCCTCTTCCCATCCCATTTCATGCCAGGGATATCATAATCAACTCTGATGATGTCACTCCTCTATGCAAAAGCATCCTCCAGCTTGAATAAGTTGCTGATAGGATAAATCCTAACTTTTAGACAGAGAAAGTCGGGCATTTCCCTCTCAGACCTCATCTTCTGTGTCCCCTTCAGCCACCCAGCCTAGGCCTCCAGGCTCCAAACAAAGAGAAGTTTCCACTGGGGACTTTTTACCACTGCATCAGTGATCTATGGCTACGTAGCAAATTTCCCCAGTACTCGGCAACTTAAGGCAATAAATATTTATTATCTTGGTTTCTGGGGATCAGGAATCCTGGAGTGGCTTAGCCAGTTGGTTCTGGCTTAGGATGTCTGGTTAGACTGCAGACAAGATGTCAGCCAGGGCTGCATCATCTGAAGGCTTGACCAAGGCTAGAAGATCTGCTTCCAAGATGGCTCACGTGGTGTTGGCAAGAGTCCTTGCAACATGGCAGCTGGCTTCCCCCAGAGGGGGTGACCTGAGAAAGCAGGGAGGAAGCCACAGTGCCTTTGGGGATCTGGCATCCTAAGTCACACACCTGCACTGTGCTCAGTTCATCAGGACAGTGTAAATGCAGCCACACTCATGGAGAGGAGAATGAGGCGCCACCTTTTAAAGGAAGAAAGATCAAAGAATTTGTGGACTTGTTTTAGTATCACCATTACTGCTGAGTTGCTGTAGCTTTTCATTCTGTGAGGAATGCTCTCTTCTCCCTCCTTGGCCTCACAGACTCGACTATCAACCACTGCGATATTTTTGAGTTTCAACATTGCCTTTTCCAGTTAGATGATCATTTTTGTCATGATCACCATGGACCCAGACTTTGCTAGACTGCATGGGTGCCTTTGTGTGAATTTTGAGACAGTATACTTTCCTCAAAACATTTTTATCTTCTGCCCCAGGGAGGAAGGGGGGAAACTGTCCTAATAAATGCACAAATCTCTGATGGTTACAATGTGATCTATGGCCCGAGAGTCGGGCACAGAAGCCCAAGGTGTACAGTAGATGCTTAATAAGTGTTGATATTTTCAAGCAATCACATTTAAGTCCTATACTAGTTACACTATAAATGTTATCACAATGAACCCAAGGTGATAATTACCGACCCATTTTAGAGATGAAGAACCTCAGTTCCATAGAGATTAAGCCCCTTAACTAAGATCCCAGGGGAAGTAAGTGGCAGAAGGGAACTTGAACTCAATTCTGTGGTTCCTGCTCTGCACTCCCTACAGCCCACCTCAATACAAGCACAGGCGGACTGAGTGTGTTGTACTAAAAACCAAAGCGCCCTTAAATTCATCTGGATAATCTTATCTGCCGCCTGTGTATACAAGCATGTCTCAAACAGTCAGATTTTCAGCAATTTCACTCTTACCCAAATGGTAACCAATAAAATTTTAACAAAGACTTCAGCCCACTGAGTTCAAAGGGACAAGGCTATAGAATCGCATTCTTTCATTCTTGAGCGAGCCATTTTGAAGGCCGGTCCTTTCTTTTTTGATCAAGGACTTTGAGAAGGGCAAACAGTGGAGGGAAAGGTCTGACCACGATTCAGCAATCAGGAAACACGTTTTGATGATTCGGTGAATCAGCATCGCTCCCCTGTCGCAGCCTTGGGGATTTACACAGTGTGTACTGACCAGAAGACGCACTGGGGAAGGAATAAATGGGTGAAGGGTGCTCCAGAGGAATGGAAGAGATTCTTCACTGAGAAAAGACGACTCACCTCACCACGACTTTTTTTAATATAAATTTATTTATTTATTTATTTATTTATTTATTTATTTATTTATGGCTGCGTCGGGTCTTCGTTGCTGCACACGGGCTTTCTCTAGTTGTGGCAAATGGGGGCTACTCTTTGTTGCGGTTCACAGGCTTCTCACTGTGGTGGCTTCTCTTGTTGTGGAGCACAGGCTCTAGGCGCGCGGGCTTCAGAGGTCGTAGCTCCCAGGCTCAGTAGTTGTGGTGCACGGGCTTAGCTGCTCCACCCCACGTGGGATCTTCCCGGACCAGGGCTCGAGCCTGTGTCCCTTGCACTGGCAAGCGGGTTCTTAACCACTGTGCCACGAGGGAGGCCCTCACCGTGATTTGTGAAATGTCCACCCTCCTTGTCCACTTAGCCCTAGAAGATGACAGAGAGTTCTGCTGGCTTCCATTCTGCTGTCCATGA